GCGCTTCTAACCCTAAATTTATTTTGCGTTAGAAATACTAACATCACCTTTTTAAGTCACACTGGATCGTCAATACTTGACCACATACGGACAGAGTCGCGCCTCTCCTTTCGGACAACTAGCGACTACTTACCATTATCCGCCACAATCAACATTCAGGCGGATAGCCTAACTCAATCCGCATACAAAGAAATCCGTGATTACAAAAACATAAATTTCGACAGACTTCGCGACCATATTACAAACGCGAACTTAACTTATCCCTCAATTAACAATCCGGAAGATATAGATGCCGCGATAGACACTTATAATGCATGCATACAAAACGCGATTAACGCAACGGCACCATTGAGGAAAATCAGTTTAAAGTAGAAAACCCTTACCTCGCGAAATAATCGACCTAATCAAAAGGAAACGCGAACTATACAGACTCTTTTCCAGAACCAGAAACCCACTCATTAAAACCGAATGGAACAGGTTAAATGCACTAGTGCGTTTGAAAATAAATAAACATCAAGACCGATGGCACGCTACATGTTCCAAACTTAACCACCATAACGGTCCGGAATTCTGGAAAAAATTTAAAATCATTACCGGACAAAAACAAACACTAAAAAATCACTTAATCATTAACGACATAATACACAACACACCCGAAGAAAAAGCTAACGCGTTCGCCGACACAATCGTAAGATTGTACGTAACACACACCGGCCCTAATATCGACGCGGCACACACCACACGAATAAACAATCACACTAGGTTCACGCTACAACATGCTAGTTACACACAAAACGATATTTGACGCGAAATCTCCCAAAACGACATTACTGACACCTTTGCTAAATTAAAAAAGAATTCCCCTGGTGAAGACGGAATCACCATCAACATCATTAAAACTGTCCAACAAAAATAAACAAAAATGACAAACGGAGCGAAAAATGTGAAAAAGCGTGGAATGGAACGTTATTGACGGCATTAGCTGTGGACATAAATTCAGATGCTTGGTATGTCGATTCAGGCGCTACTTGTCACATGACCAACAACAAAAATTTATTACAAAACTACGTTGTGGACACTCCGCGTTCAGAAACAGTGGCAAATAAACAAAAGATGACCAGTGAAGGACACGGTGATGTGGAATTGTTGTTGAAAGGACACAAAGAAACGACGAAAATAAGTGAGGTTATTTACGTGCCGAGATTGTCAACAAACCTTATTTATGTTGGAAAAATGACAGCGAAAGGACTTGATGTGTACTTTGACACAGAGAAGTGCAATATTTATTGTGGAAAAGATATAGTCGCAACTGCTACGAAGGCCAATGGTGTTTACCAATTAAACACAATGGGTCAGCTGTCAACAAACACCAGTGAGCTGGAAGCAGCCTGTCAATCAATGGATTTGGATGAATGGGTGTTCCATTGCATATGAACCAGTCTATGGATCATGAAACGGAAGCTGTGAATTTGTGTGAAGTGAAGCCAACCCA